AGCGCCGAGGAGCGGTGCTACTGGAGCAACCCAGCAGCACCCCAGCTGCTCTGCCCCAGGCTTCCCCAAGCCAGCCGTTGCTGAAACTGACCAGTGCTGACTACAGGAAGCCCAAGGCACAGTTGCTCTGCCCCGGGCTTCCTGGAATCAGCCGCTGATCAGTTTCAGCAGCAGCTGACTTGGGGTTCTTAAGTTGAATCTGTATGTAAGTCAGAACTGGCGGTCAGTTTCAGCAGCGGCTGAATCTGGACGCCAGTTCCGACTTACATTCAGATTCAACTTAAGAACAAACCTACAGTCCCTATCTTGTACGTAACCCGGGGACTGCCTGTATTAAGAAATTTGCCTAAAGTGACACAGGATGTCAGTGGCAGAGCTAGGTAATGAACTTGGAACTCCCAAGATTCAGTCAACTGTCGTAAACACAAAATCAATCTTTGAGCTGACTGGACTTTTTACACATACTTTCATTACTCAGAGGGTTACTTTTCCAATCTGCAGGAGCCTATACAAGGAAGCAGTGGGGATCTGCAATGCAGTTCTATCAGCGGGGCAGGATGGTGTTTGGCATATGCAGCTTCCCAGGATAGTGCTACCTCCCCAGAGGCTAAAGTCATGAGGCAGCAGCTAATAGTTTCCCCTCCTCCTTCATCCAAGTTGCTGTAAGAGATATCAGTCTTCTCCAAATTAGGCTGAGTGAAGAGAACGGATGCTGAATGAATGTGACCAGAAACCTGGATCTTATGCTGCAATGCTTTGTGGTTCAATGATGCCAGACCACTTATTGGGGGCCAGACCACTTATTGGGGGCTTGATGTGGGAAGACGTACCACCATGAAGGATGGAATAAGGCTAGTCTCTCCAAAAACCTTGTCAGAACAATCGAAGAGTTCCTATCTGAGAGCTTCATGGAGACATGCATGGAGGATCCCTGCTCCATCTCCAGACACATTAACAAGCTGTTCCGGGCTCCTCCACACAGAGCACACAGCACATCACACTTAACTGCCTTATCCTGCTTGTTCTAAGAAAAAAATTGTGAAACTCACCAGGAGTGCTCTCCCTGGGATCAGTGCTTGACTGGGAATCCTCCTGGGAGGAGGTGACTGACTCCAATGTCATAAGTTCTTGGCTCTCACCAGATGCCAGCTGGCTCATTTACCTCATTCTCCTCCTCCCCCTCTGCCACCACTTGATGCCAGGAGTATCTAAGCTGGACTCCAGTCAGGCTTAGGAAATTGGTTGGGTCCCCTCCTAACATCACATGCTCCTGATCACAGATCCAGCATGTTTGCAGTGGTGAACCAGACTGTCCATTCACCTCCTTTATCTTGTGGTTGAACTGCCTCAGCTGCTTGATTTTGCCCGTACACTACTTGGTGTCCATGGAGTATCCTTTGGTCACCAGGCAGTTTGCCATCTTTGCATAAATATCAGCAATTCTTTTGCTGGTTTGGAGCTTAGAGAGAATGGATTCCTCTCCCCACACCTTGATGAGGTCCATGATCCCCTGCACACTGGTGCTCTTCTTCACCCTTGGGAAAGGGAGCTCATGGGACTTGAAGAATTGGAAGTCATGACCACATGTGTTGCTCATTTGTGCTGCCTCCTGCGAGGTACGCTCACAACACTGGCCACTGGGGAAATGAAATTCAAACTTTCCCAGGGCTTTACCAGTTTACCTGTAGAGCAGTAGAGCTGCAAGTTCTGGCCAGAGCGGGGGACTGCGGGATACCTCCCACAGTCCAATAACCTCCACTTATGCGAACACATTGTCTACACTATAGTAAATTCGACCAGGCAAGATTGGGAATTGCATTACTCCTTGTCAAATTAGGAGCACTGTACGTCTACTTCAGTGGCCCTTAACTTCAACGAGACAGGCTTGGTAGCAGGAACACATAGTTTAGAAAAATCAATTTTATGTGGCTAAATTTAGTGTAAACTCTTAGTATAGACCAGACTTAAGTTACGTGATTTTTGCTTCTGCTCCCTCTTTGGATGAACTAGGCTTTGTAAACAGATATCCCTTTTCTCCACTCCGTTCTTCTCTGTTTATAAATTATCAAAGAGAGTTGTATTTGTTTGATTTAACCTAAGTGATTATAGCTTTCCAAAATGTCCAAGGAACGCTTGGAGTGTGAAAATTCTTGTGAATTTTTATTCATGACATGTTAACTTTAACCAAACATTTCTGGATATAAAAATAGCTGCCTGAATGTCAATAACTGAGCAAATAATTATTCATAAAATACTTGTAAGACAAGTCAAAGTTTTGTTAATTAAACTTTGCTATTTTTATTCAGGTGTAATCCTAACAGACTCAGTGAGATTTTTATTGCAGTCCTGACGTGAAGTACCAGTAATGCATCATTACGCAAAGAGGAAATGGCTCCCTAGGAGTCCTGCAGAAAAGGACCAGGCATCATAGAGGATCATTGTATGGGGTGAGTAAATGTTATAGTGTTGCCGAAAAAAAAAACAACAACCCCACACCACCCACACACAAACAAACATTCTGGAGTGCATTAGAATGTACTTGAAAGAATGTTATAACTCTGACTCTGCTCAGCACTGATAAGGCTTCTGCTGTATTCCTGATTGCAATTCAGCAAGCTACACTTAAGGAAAGATGTGGACAAATTGAAGGAAGTCCAGGACACCGCAACAAAAAATAAAGATCTAGAAAACGTTGCTCTAATGGAAGAAAAGTCTGAGCTAGACATGGTAAGTCTTCAAGTATGTAAAAGGTGTGTTATAAAGAGAAAGGAAATAAATTGTTCTCCTTAACTGAGGACAGGACACAAAATAATGGATTTAAATTGCAGCAAGAAAGACCTAGGTTAGACAGTAGGAAAAACTTTTTAACTGTAATTGCAATTAAGCACTGGAATAAACTACCTGGAAGGTTGGAGATTTTAACAACATGTTAAACAAACACCTGACAGGGATGATCTAGATAACATAGTCCTGCCTCAGTGCAGACACTGGACCACGTGACACACTGAAGTTTCTTTCAGCCCTAAATATCTATTATTCTGTCACAGAGAAAATAGTCACACACATATCCAGCTTCTAGTTTCCTTCCTCCCAAGGGCTCGTTAAAGTGGACTCTTTGGAGGGGTTTTTTTTTTTTTTTGGTTATTGTTGTTTTGAAAGGAGAGAGAGATTGATAAAGATACTTCATCTGCCACATAATCATACCTCCTAAATTCATGTTATTTAAACTTTCACAATAAGAAATTTATAAAAACTAAGTTACCTCCTGAAAATGGTCAGGCCCCACTGCTCGAGTGCATGACAATTTTTAAATAGTTCATTAAAAATATGAAAATATTTAGTTCCAAACTATAGAAAATACCTTTGGTCAGTCAGCCAGGATTCCAGTGTGTCATCTCCTCTTACGATGTTTGTCTGTAAGAGTAGTTTGCATGTTAATGCAGCTGCACAAAACTAGAAGTTCTTAATCTTGACTTCAGAACTTTTAAGAATTTGATTCTACTCCATTTATACTCAAAACTTAAATCACATTTCATGTATTTAGTTTTAGGTATGTATGCACAGTGAGCTATTTTTTAAAATTTCCATGCAATCTGAAAGAGAACATTGTCATTGGAATTCTAAATATGTCATGGGAAACACACATATGTAGAAATATCACATCACAGAGCAGGGAATCAACTACTCTAGCGAGACTACATGTTAATTGTATATTCACTTCTGGATAGAAACAGATATTAGATAATTCACAAAAAAGTGGCAAAAATAATGGCAGCTAATCAAACAACTTAGTAGTTTGTATATAATGTCAGATCTGTGTATAGCTATGTTTTCTTCGACAAGGCTTGAAAAGAACTATGGCAACTAGGAATCTTTCAAGGGCAAATATTAACAACTTCTGTAGAGATTAAGCTTTAATAAAAATTAAACAAAAATAACTTTGAACCACTTAAGATTACAAATATGCTAATTTCACATTTAGATGTGATGTAAATTAAAGTATTGTTATCTTGCTGAGGGCTCATCTCCAGGAGATCAAAGCTGCAGCTATCGATTCACCAGGGGATTGATTTAGCTGTTCTAGTAAAGACCTGAAACATCAAATTCAGATCATTCTCATATAAACTCTGGTACTTTATCAGAAGTAGTCATGCTGAGGAAAAAATTTCTCCCATCGACCCAGGACAATATAGGTACTGTAGTAAGTCAATGTAAGCTAAGATGACTCCAGCTATGTTATGCACATAGCTGAAGATGAAGAACTTAAATTGACTTAACCCTGTGGCTTAGACCTGTCCATTGCCTGGAGTCTGTGCCAATGTCTCTGTTAGTGCTCAGAGTGAAATAACCCCGCCAATCAATTACTCTTTCATCAGTTTTCAATGCTGCCATTCAGAACTTATTGCCTAACAATGAAACTGACAAGATAATCACATCACTTTCACTGAACTGATGTGTGGGAAACCTTTGAGCAACAACAGAAATCAGCAATGGAGTTATTCACAGGGATGAATGACTCAAACGCAGCACTGGAAAAAGACTTCTTATATTTGTGCAGTGCGCCTATACTGTGGGCTTACACCAGTGTAAAAATCCTCAGTACTGACAAGTCCTAATTAACATACTTGCACAGAGGTGGTTCTCAAAAGGTTCTCTGCTTGATGCTGTCTAAGTGCTGCATTTAGTCTCTGATCTGGAAAAAAAAGTAAAACAGTTATAGATACTGTATAAATATTTACACAGATTATAAGAGGGCAGTTAAAACAGTTTTATAGATGTAGCGGGTTGGAGACATAAGTCTACAGTTTAAGGAACACATTTATTTTTTGAAAAATATAGATTCATAGTAAAAAAGGCCATCTTTGCAGGCCACAATTTTTCTTGTAATTTTAATAGTAAATGCCATTTGTCATATTGCCCTAGTGTTTTTTTTTTTAATATTTCTATAAAGCTGTTTGGAACCTAAGTAATGCAAATAAGAGATACCGCATATGTATATTTAATACTGAAGGACTCAAGCTATAATCCTACCAGTTCAATGTCTTCATCAGAAAGCTACCTTATTACATTTTAAATAATTAACCCAAGATGGACCTTGTAGCAGAAAATCCTACCGATAAATGCATCTGGGCATAGCTGACTACCTTACTAGATGATGCAATGTTTGCAATTTCCTGGGGGAAATCTACTTCATGAAAGAGTGCCCGTAAATACCATCTTTAATTGGGAAAAATAGTTGCATCTGTATCTAGCAAGCACAAAATGAATCCTTTCAAATTTTGGATACACTCACTCATAACTGAAGAATAAGCTCAGTCTATTCGCTGCATAAAACTTGGTATTCTAGTAAAAAGTGCTGCATGACCAAATGGACACAGCTTGGTAGTCTGGAACTGAGCATGATCATTACTTAATGCTTCAAACCAACATATCTTGCTTACTGTAATTTTCATAGAAAATGGTTGACATATTTATAATATTACACTGAAACATACGTGATAACATATTAGCTTCCTTGGGAAAATACTTAAATGTACAGGCATTCAGATGTTCAGAGTTATAGTTTACATATTACTATTATGCCTGCTGCAATTTTACTCTTTGCTGTTATAGTCATAAATAAAATTAACAATACACTACTGTATGTAACTAAAACTCCATCATGTGCTACGTATTCACTAATAACTTTTAAAAATATAAGACTTGTTAAACAAAAATTAACTAGTTCTCTTAAAGAGAAGTAAAAAACAACCCAGTAAATACCATGCAATCCCTGACAAGATGGAGATATACCTATACCTATTTCATAGAAGTGGAAGGGACCCTGAGAGGTCATCAAGTCCAGTCCCCTGTCCTCATGATAGGACCAAGTACCATCCCTGACAAATTTGTCCCAGATCCCTAAATGACCCCCTCAAAGATTGAACTCACAACCCTGGGTGTAGCAGGTCAGTGCTCAAACCACTGGAGGGAGTATGTCAGAGACTGACTGAAAGGACAAGTGGAATCCTCCAAAGACATCACATTGCTTATTGGAGAAGGCCAAATAAAACATGAACTCATGAAAGCACTTTCAGGTCATGAAGAAAATGGGGAATTCCAGACTGGCTTGGTGTATTGGTATAGCTGTGTATGTGACTGCTTATCAGTTAACAGGCCTGGTTAACTGTAACAATTCCACCCTCCCTGAATGCTCTAAATTTAAAACTTGGACTGGCACACTGGCTCAGTCCCAGCCCACCAGTCCAAGTTTTAAATGAATAACCTGCAGGGGAGCTGCCAGCTGCAGCATTGTGGCACAAGCAGGAGCCATTCTGTGCGGGGAGCCAGTTTCAAAACTGGCTCTTTCCTGTATCAGAGGCAGCAGTGCAGGGTGTGACGTGGGAGCCAGTCTGCGCAGGGAGCTGGTTTTTAAAGACTATACATTCTTAAAGCAGTTTCCTTATGAATATAAGGAACACTTACTATTTTAAAACCTTGACTTCTTAAGCATGAATACAAAAGAAAACACTGCAATCATACCAGATCTAGAGTAAGTTCCAAATCAATAACTCACAATTGTGACCTACGCTTATACTGTATAGTGTGAGAATAGAGGGGAGATCTACCTTTGTCACTAGGTACTATCCTGATACATTTCAACAATAACTCTTCTGGAAAGTCAAAAGCAAGACCGAAAACCTGAGCCAGATTAAGCAAGACACATCACTGAGGTTTGTGCTATTCTAGACAGTATGAGCTCTAGTTTGATGGGGAAAATAATGAAAGTATGCAAGTGCTAAAAATAGCAACCATGTCCTGAAAAATACAAGGCACTTTAAAAGGAAAGGCAAATCGAAGCTAGGCACAAAATTACACACTTTTTTCAACACATAACCCTCTCTCCCCCCAAAAAATAGTAGAAAGAGGGTCTGATACAGCAGCCCTTCCTTTCAATTATAGAAGTGCCTTTTTATAATGTGAAAGGTGACCTTTCATCTGAGATCACCCAAATCATCTGTTCAATATATGATTTTCTATTTAACAATGTAACAGGGTGTACCAACCCCGCACTGGGCCTGAAAGAGTTAACCAGAGCTACCTAACAGAGAGCCTCACCCCCACAGCCCTGCTGGGAATGCACCAGCTGGAGGACAGGTATAAATGCCAGTGGAGCAGCTCAGTCAGAGCTGGCTGCTGTAGAGGAAGAAGCTCCTGCCAGAGTTCTGCAGGAAGAGCTATGGTGGGACCAAACCATGGAGGCCAATCAGGGGAGAATAGCTGGAGAAGAAGCCTATGGTCATGAATAAGGTAGGAAGTAGACCAGGGCAGGGAAGAGCTCAGCATGTTTTGGGCGGATTCCCTGCTGAGCTAGTGATGGGACATGCTCACCACTGACAGGCCCCTGGACTTGGACCTGGTGGAAAAGGTGGGCCTGGTGATTATTGCGTCTGGCTGCTAGGCCTTATTGCCCTGAGACCAGAAAATGGTGATTATGGACTCGGACCACTAGGCCTCACTGCCCTGAGGGAAGGAAGCGGGAAACAGATGTTGGCTGCTCCGTCTCATTACCACATGAACAGGGTGGGCTGCTATTGATTCTGGCCCCATTGCCTTCAGGGAAGAGAGTGAGAACTGACTCTGGACATTAAGCCCCACTGCCCTGAAGGAAGAGGGTGGGGATTCCCACTGGCTACTAGGCCTTGTCACCTGGAGGAAAGGGGGGCAATTACTGACTGTCAGAGCTCACTGCCCTTGCAGAAGGGGCTGTTTCACTGACTGACTGCTAAGCAAGACTGTTGCATTGGAAAAAAGGGTGTAGTCAGAGGACCTGGGCCCTAGAGACACTCATAGGGTGGAGCACACTTTTTGAAAGGTCTAAAGCCCTGCCACAGAGGGGACTGGGAGTACCCACTCCATGACAAACAATGCAATAGTGCCATCAATGACCATTCTAACGATTACATATTACTCCACTTGTTCTGTTAAACTGTTCAGTAGGCAGTCCTAGAAGGGATTAGCAGAAATCCTGATTGGGCCACAGTGGCTGTGGTGGGAGCATGAAGAACCCTAACACACTGCAGCAACCCCAGATTCTGGTCCCAGCTGCACTACTGCAACCCCAGGCCGACACAGCAGCAACCCTGGAATCCAGACCCTGGCCCATGGTGCACTGGACCCACATTGGCTCTTGACATGCCTGCCCGCAGCGTGGTAATGACCCCCCCACATACAGTTGCCCTGTCCCCACCAACAGTTAACTGGTGGTCACAGTCTAAACAATTACAATTATACCATTTAACTGGTTAACAGTTTTGATAAAGTTTCACATCGCTACTGCACACTGTAAGTATGAAAAAATAAGAAAATTCCCTGAGTATATGAAAATTAGATAAAGACATTATTGAACTCTGTCAGAGTACAGGCAATACGGGGAGGGCTCTTCTGCTGTGTTTAATAGGCCAGAAGTCCAAACTTTTTCAGTAGGTCTAATCGTACAGACCATGTAACTGATGGAATTTCCATCAGGCCTTGTGGGCACCAGCCTATCTACCCACACTCCCTACCAGAGTTTAAATGGTAATAGGAACAAAGCATCAGCTAACAGGTTAACTGGTTAACCATTTAAACTCCTACATCCCTAAGTCAAATGGAATATTGGTTTACATGTATTAACAAACCAGAGCTGTTGACAATTATTTTATTCTGTTAGAAAAGAGTGTTATAGAAACTAATTGCTAAAATTACTGTAAAACAGAAGTGTGTGTGTGTGTGGGGGGGGTTTGTTTACTCTAGAACTCCTAGAGTAAACTCTAGAGGCAGGTTTCCTGTTTGCATCCATTTTTCAAACACTAGTCAGGGAGTGAAACCGTTAGGTTATCAAATGTAATTGCAAGACCTTAAGTGCACAAACGGCTATTTTAAGTGTATGTCGTGCTTACTTTGATCTCTTAGAAAGTTAATCTCCGCTGCCATATTTTAACCTGCTTGTGCAGTCCAATGTTGGTAATGAAGAGCTTCAGTACACTGCTGTTTTTTCCTGCCCTGCTGCAGAGCCTGCAAGAAACAAGCCAAACCAGTTTATTATAAGTTTAAATGAGCTGCTTTCTGCGCGAGCCGCATTTTATCCAAGTCTGGTAACAGCCTCCGCTAGCGACGGGGAAAGAGCAGCGGAAACAGCGTTTAGCCCGTCACACCAATCACCCCCCGTAGTGCAGCTGCTACAGACTCATCGGCTCCACGGCGACCCAGCAGCTCGCGCTCTGCCCAGGTGTCTCCCCGCCCTAACCCCGCCCACCACGAAGCGTCCCGTGTTGCTACCCCGAGGACAGGCTCGTGCCCAGCAGGCTCTCAGGAAAGGGGGCATCTTCTATGGCCCCGCGCGCCCTGCCGCCAGCGCATCCCGGGCCGTCGCCGAGAGGGCAACGGCGCCCAGCGGCTGGGGCCGTGCACAGGACGCCGCCGCTCCCAGGCAAACCGCCCCGTTCTCCAGACGAGCGGCTCGGCGGCGGCAAGACCCGGGGGGGAGGGGAGGAATGACCGTTGCGCAGCGACTTGCCCTGTGACCAACCCCCTTTCCGAGCCAGGGGTCCTGCCGCCAGCGCCTACCTGCCCAACGGCTCCCTCCAACCGCGCGCGTGCACCCCCGGACACCCGCAGCACTTCCACCAACTGCCCGAGCAGCCGACCCAGCGCGGAACTGTGTAGCTCACGTGACAGCCACCGATCTACCAATTGGAATCCGAGATAAGTGGCAAGCGGTGTCTGATTGGTCCTTATCTTAATTTCCGCATGACGATGAGGATCTGCCTGGGTCTGTCTCGCGGGGCAAAGACGGGCCAGAGAACTGGCCGAAGGGTTGCGGGCGGAGGCGCGCGCGCGGTAGGTAGAATCGCTCCATTTAGGGAACCAGCAGCAACTGCCGCTCTAGCTTGCGCGGGCACGTGGGGGGAGACAAGCAGGAGCCGGTTCCCCTCAAGCAGGGGCGATTGCTGAGAAGGGGCGTGTAGGGTACCGGGCACGTGGCTGCTCTCCAGCACCACCTCTCCGTAGCTCGGCACAACAAGCCGCCCCTCCGCCCCAGCCCCTTGACCCGGCTCTTCCCCGCACACTGGTGCCGTTGTCAAGTCTGCAGCTAGGCACCACTGGCTGGCCCATCCCAGCTACTGGCTTTCAGGGCTCAGAGTAACGCGCTGGTTAACTGCCCTCTAGACGGTTGGGCCGTGGCTGAAGTTTGGGCTCCTTGCAAGGTCAGCAGGTCCCAGAGATCAGGCTCCAGCTGGAGCCCAGAAATCACGGTCTTGAAAGAGCCCTGCTACCTAAGCCCTGTGAGCTTCAGTTGGCTGGCACAGACCACCCACGTGTCTAGCTGTTGTGTAGACATACCTGTAACACACCGTCTATTAATGCTGCCAGTTATTCCATCCATTCAAGTGGCAGAGATCTGTGCAGTTGAGCCAAGCCGTCTGGCTCCTGTGCGTATCCGTGTGATGCAACACAATGGGGTTTTTTTTTTTCAGTTTATTTTAAGCCTAGGAAAGTACTTTGCACAGAAGTAGTGGAAAGAATGTTATTAGGATTCAGGATGTTACATTGCATCAACTACATGATTAGTCAACAAGGAGCACTCTGCAGAGCCGCATCCGGTGTGGCTCCAGGAGTCAGCTGGAGTCGGGGCTGAGCAGTGCTGTCTGCAGGAGACACCCTTGCTGTGGCTCTGCATTTTAAATGTAGTAAGAGCTACTGGGCTCTTAATACACATAAAATGCAGAGATGTAACATCCCAGACTAGCGTGAGCACCAGGCCCAGCTCCCCGCTGAGACCTCTCTTTGTAGCAACCTCCCCTATCCTCTCCCCCAGATGGGGAAACAAGCAGCATTGCAGAGACAATGCAGGGGGGAAACTGGCTTTTAAGCTGGCTCCCACGAGCACCAACTCCTGTTTGCCCCCTTTCTATCCTTCTACCTCTCATAGAGGCAGTGATGGGGGGAGGGGAGGGGGACACGAGTAGTAGATACTCCACTCAAATACCAATGAGCTTGTGCTTATTGGATAGTTGACTAGTCCAGCGATTCCCAGTTGGTGATGGTCCTCGAACTGCTGACTGCGGATAGCAAGGTGAAGTCAGGTGTTCACAGCCACTGGGGGGCATTGCTAGGGTACATCCCAGTCCCCTGAGCCACCACACAGTAGCCAGCTTCCAGGTGCTGCAGCCTCACTCTCCTGCCTCGTGCACACACATGCTTCTTCCCCCATGCAGTTGGCATACCAGCATTGCCTTCCCACTGTGGATGGGAGAGGGGAGAGAAAGCTCTGAGTCTTGCTCCACAATCCAACTTGCAGGAAAGAAGCACTGCCCTTTCCCTCTCCTGCCTGGGGGAACAGCAGCGTGCAGGCAGCGCTTCTTCCCCATGAGCCAGATCGTGGTGCAAGGCTTGGGGCTTTGTCTCCCCCTGCCCCACAGCGGGAAGTCAGCACTGGTGCTCCAACCATGTGAGGGGGAGGGAGGACAGAGGCTCCTGATGTCACTGAGGTTTGAAGGTCCCTAATCTAGCTGCTTATGCAGCTGCTTCATTAACCAGGGTTTGAGGAGTTTCTGATCATCTTAACTCCCTAGTCTGTGCTTGAGTTCCCTGTATGTCAAAATGGGGTCACAGCGCTTCTTCCTAGGTGTGGTATGAGGACAGGCAGACTGGAAAAGATATAAGGACCTAACAGGGCACAAGCAGGGCTGGACCGAGCCATTCCAGCGCCCCGGGCAGACAGTTTAATTGCGCCCCGGGTTGGGGAAGGGCGCATGCGTGGCCCTGCCCCGGTGTCGGCGTGTGGGGGAGGGCAGGCGGAGCTGGCGGCAGGAGGGCGGCTGGGGCCAGCGGGCCACCCGGTGCAGACTGAGCCTGGCCGTGCAGGGGCCCCATTACCTCGGGGGGAAGGGTGCTGCTGTCTGGTGCTGCGGTGGTTAATGCAGCTCCCGCTCTGGGCGGCCGCTGCAGGGTAGCTGCTGGGAGCTGCTGCATCCAGCGATCCAGGAGCTGGGCGTGCGGTGCCTGATGGCAGCTATAAGGGGTGCTGTGCGCCTACCCGGTGCAGACTGAGCCTGGCCGTGCAGGGGCCCCATTACCTCGGGGGGAAGGGTGCTGCTGTCTGGTGCTGCGGTGGTTAATGCAGCTCCCGCTCTGGGCGGCCGCTGCAGGGTAGCTGCTGGGAGCTGCTGCATCCAGCGATCCAGGAGCTGGGCGTGCGGTGCCTGATGGCAGCTATAAGGGGTGCTGTGCGCCTCTTACAGCTGCCATCAGGCACCCCCCCATAGGTTGGCACCCCGGGCAGCTGCCTGGCTAGCCCATGCCTTAATGCATGAGAAAGTTAAAGCACTTACATTAATATTGCCTTTTTTACTGGTTAAATTAAAAAGTTCTCCCTTGCTGCAGCACTAGCAAAGTGACTTGGGCTTAATTATGTAACTAACAGCAAGTTTCTATTAGCAATTGGTGGTCCACAGAAAGGTTTGTGTTGAGCCAGGTAGGGGCCATGGGCCAAAAAATCTGAAGCATAAGGTATTGGGTGGTACTGGGCAGAGAGGCAATGTGGTAGGCACACTGGCAACACAGGGCTGGAGCTGGGGGTGCAGGTGGGAGGAAAATGCAGGGGTTGGGATGACAACGGCATTGTAGAGAGGTTGGGATGAAGGTGACGCAGCTGGAGTTGGGGCACAGTGTTGGAGTTAATTGCAAAGGGGGCACAGGGTGGGGAGCCAGGGATGGGGGAGCCCATGGCCACCAAAGAAAATAGGAGGGCACCATGCCTGGGGTTGGGGAGGCAGGAGCACCACAATACAAGTTCACCCAGAGTGCCATTTTCCCTAAGGCTGGCTCTGGCTGGGGTACATATTTTGGTGGATGAGTAACACTTTCTTTGCATATTCATTATGCAAATAATAATTATGTAAATATTATCGGTTCACCAAACATTTGTGAATGGGTTTGCTGGTCCACTGCATAAAAAAGGTTGGGAACCACTGGACTAGTCGACTCCCCGCAAACATCTCTAAATAGCATTGCAAGGTCCAGCACTCAGAAGTCAAATGCCAGAATTACAGTTTTGTGTTAACATTAATTTTATCCATTTCTGTGTGCATACTGTTTTTTCCTGTATTTTTATCCTTGTTGGGAATTCCTGAAATAAGCCAGAAATGTTTATTGGTCTCTGTTAAAGCTTTTGTTCTATTTAAAAATTGTGTGGTATAGAACTCACTTCTCTGTAGTGTTACAAGGGAAGTGTGTAGAGAAGCCAATAATAGAAACATACCATTACCAGTAAATTCTGGCTCCACAATTAGCTTTATGCTTACAGCTCTTTGAATGTATATGAATCAAACACTACTAATAGTTTTACATTGCTAGCTTGAGGCTATGCTATCCAAGTTTTTTCACAGTGTTATGAAAGTTCCTTTTGTTTTAGAGTCTGCATATCTTAATTTGAGTATTTTAGAGTTTTCTTACAGCAAATGCTCAAGCATAGGATTATTGAGGTAGTACATTTTTTTGTACTCTGTCAATATTTAACACAGTTTTTAAGCAACAGCCTATGTAGATCTAGATATTGATATTTTCTATTTTAAGAATAGAATTGTGATCAGCTTCTCTCTCTTATAGTGTATGCTGGTTCACACATTAAGGCTTGATCATGCAATCCTTATACAGAGAAATCTGTGGACTTCAAGAAGAAATATGCATAACAGGGTTTCAGGTCAGGCAGTTAATATGTTATTACAAACACCTTTATTGTACTATTCAAACCTGGAGTATGAATTTCTGAAACTTGCATGTATGCACAGGCAAAATTCTGCATTCCTGTACAGAAGGACAGACCTCATTTTAGTTAATAGGCCATATTATCAGAAAAGTTGTACCTGCTTGTATAAGGTCTCTATTTGACTCTATGGGAGTTGGAGCCACATAGTTGAGAAGATTATTTGACCCTCTGCATTTTGCTTACTTCTCATGCTAGCAAAGAGATGAGGTGAGAGGGAGGAATAGGGAGTAGGTGCGGTCCGGGGGAGGGGGGAAAGGAATTAGGTTTGGGGCATCCCAAGACTCCCTTCAGCCCTGCTCCCTCAGTTTCCTAAGGCAGCCAGGGCTTTAGCCTCTCCCCACCCCAGGGCAGGGTCATGTTCTGTCAGCTCCAGGGCAGGGGAAAGCTGGGGCCGTGTGCTGCTAGCCCTCCAGGTGTTCTGAGGCTGGAGAAGGCTGCAGGCCACCTCTACTGGGTGGAAGGGTGGAGAGGCAGGGCTGCAGGTTACCTGCACTCCTGGAGAGGTGTGGGAGTGGCCAGAGAAAACTGCAGGCTGGCTGTGCTAGGGAGCATGAGGAGCCTGTCCCTACTATGGGAGGGCTTGCCTCCCAGGGGGGCCATGGATGGGAGGGGCGGAGTTGAGAGGGGCTTGTTTCCTTCATCCCTAGGTTCACTTATCACTCTTGCTGCAGGAGATCCATGCCCAGTTCCAGCTGTGCCTACATAGCAGGGAGAAAGGAGGGAGAGTGATTCTGTCTCTCCCAGCTTCAGTCACATTGCCTGGGGAAGGACAGAGGGAGAATGACACTCTGCCAGCATTTACTTGGCTGTGGGCAGGGCCATCACTAGGGAGGTCTGGGGCTTGGAGCAACCCTCCCTACACCACCCTAAGCCCTCCCTCTGCTTCATATGACACAGCCTCTTCTTGCTTCTGTTCCTGCCCCTCTTTTACCTGTTGCCAGAAGCACCCCTTCTCCAAGAGATGTGATGGGAGGATTACCGCAAAACCTGGCATGCAGCAGGACACACCCACCCCACCACCACCCTGCACTGACTATGGTGTCAACAGATAGAAGCAGAGTGACCCATT